CTATCTATCTATCTATCTATCTATCTATCTATCTATCTGTCCGTCCGTCCGTCCGTCCGTCCGTCCGTCCATCCATCCATCCATCCATCCATCCATCCATCCATCTATTTTCATCCATTTATCCAGAGTGAGATTATAGGAGCAGTAGCCTAAGCAGGGAGGCCGTGACCTTCCTCTCCCCAGCCACTTGGGCCAGCTCCTCCGGTGGAATGACGATCTTTGTCCGAATTAGGAGTTTATTTACTGATCTGAATCAATGAAATGCAACAAAATAAGAAGAAAAACCTGAAAAGATGATAATTTTCTTAGAACTCAGACAAAGTTAAAACATGAATTTACAGGTGCTGGCCAGTAAATTAGAATATCATCAAAAGGTTGAAAATATTTCAGTAATTCCATTCAAAACGTGAAACTTGTACATTATATTCATGCAATGCACACAGACCAATGTATTTCCAATGTTCATTGCATTTAAATTTGATATTCATAAGTGACAACTAATGAAAACTCCAAAGTTGGTATCTCAAAAAATTTGAATATTCTGAAAAGGCTGAATATAGAAGACACCTGCTGCCACTCTAATCAGCTGATTTACTCAAAACACCTGCAAAGGCCTTTAAAAGGTCCCTCAGTCATGTTTTGAAGGCACCACAATCATGGGGAAGACTTCTGCCTTAACAGCTGTCCAAAAGACAATCATTGACACCTTGCACAAGGAGGGCAAGACACAAAAGGTGATTGCTAAAGAAGCTGGCTGTTCGCAGAGCTCTGTGTCCAAGCACATTAACAGACAGGCGAAGGGACGGAAAAAATGTGGTAGAAAAAAGTGTACAAGCTCTAGGGATAACCGCACCCTGCAGAGAATTGTGATGACAAACCCATTCAAAAATGTGGGGGAGATCCACAAAGAGTGGACTGCAGCTGGAGTCAGCGCTTCAAGAACCACCACGAGGAGACTCATGAAAGACATGGGATTCAGGTGTCGCATTCCGTGTGTCAAGCCACTCTTGAACAAGAAACAGCGCAAGAAGCGTCTCGCCTGGGCCAAGGACAAAAAGGACTGGACTGATGCTGAGTGGTCCAAAGTTATGTTTTCTGATGAAAGCAAGTTCTGCATTTCCTTTGGAAATCAAGGACCCAGAGTCTGGAGGAAGAGCGGAGAAGCACAGAATCCACGTTGCATGAGGTCCAGTGTAAAGTTTCCACCGTCAGTGATGGTGTGGGGTGCCATGTCATCTGCCGGTGTTGGCCCACTCTGTTTCCTGAGGTCCAGGGTCAATGCAGCCGTCTACCAGGAAGTTTTAGAGCACTTCATGCTTCCTGCTGCTGACCAACTTTATGGGGATGCAGACTTCACCTTTCAACAGGACTTGGCACCTGCACACAGTGCCAAAACCACCAGCACCTGGTTCAAGGACCATGGTATCCCTGTCCTTGATTGGCCAGCAAACTCGCCTGACCTTAACCCCATAGAAAATCTATGGGGTATTGTGAAGCGGAGGATGCAATACGCTAGACCCAACAATGCAGAGGAGCTGAAGACGACTATCAGAGCAACCTGGGCTCTCATAACACCTGAGCAGTGCCACAGACTGATCGAGTCCATGCCACGCCGCATTACTGCAGTTATTGAGGCAAAAGGAGCCCCGACTAAGTATTGAGTGCTATACATGCACATTCTTTTCATGTTCATTCTTTTCAGTTGGCCAACATTAGAGAAACAAACATTTTTTCATTGGCCTTTAGAATATTCTAATTTTCTGAGATATCAGATTTGATGTTTTCATTGGTTGTCACCTATAAATATCAAAATTAAACGTAATAAACATCGGAAATACATTGGTCTGTGTGCATTGCATGAATATAATGTACAAGTTTCACGTTTTGAATGGAATTACTGAAATATTTTCAACCTTTTGATGATATTCTAATTTACTGGCCAGCACCTGTATTTACACAAAGTTGGTGACACTGATCAGTGAGCTCCAGCTCCTTGTAGCACACTTGCTGCATCTGATTCAGTTACTTAATGCTGGATTATCTGTTGAAAAAAATCTTATTTTATGCTTTTTTTGTGATTAATCTAATTATTAAACACCATATTAGGTGGTTTTTCTGAGTGGACCCTGAGGAATGAGGATGTTGGTGTATCTGACTCAGGAGACTGGTGTTCATGACTCACATGGGAAAATTGTTCCAACAAGATATTATTTAGTGTTTTTTAAAGCAATTCCTTCCTCCATGAGATTAGTTTTCATCTTAAAAAAAAGTTATTGTCTTCTTATACAGCAAGTCTGACAAATGGAGTAATTGCACTCCCTTCGGAGATGCTTTGAATAAAGTGTTGTGAAATCTCAGGTCTTATCTTTGGAAAACGGAGCGGTCGTGATGAGTCTGTTAGGTGGGACTCCTCATCTGGACAGCAGAGATAATGAAGGAGAATGCAAGAGGCAGTTCTTGTGTTTCAAGTTCTGGGAGGAGATTTAGCTGGAAAGTCCGAACAGTGGAGGCGAAGATAATGTTGCAGGAGGAGTTTCTGTTTAACCGAAGCAAACGCAGGCTGATCACGTTTGTAAAGTCGTGTCCCAGAGTTTGATGCTGTGAAGATAAATTCAGTCTGGGGTGTCACCTTGAGAAGAAAATCCACTGTTTACCCACAAACATCTTTATCATTGTGACAATGTTTACAAAGGACTGAGAGGTTAATATCTCAGCACGTGCATAATTACCGAGTCAAACTGTCAAGCAGTGTTGATTAGTTAGAGGATTTATGTCAGACACCCGACACGACAAAGTAAATATTCATTAATTATTCACGACTTGTTGTCCACATTGAAACAAATGACCATGGCCACTATTTTACTTTCATTATCTGAAGCTCGTGTGTCAGACCTCTCATTATGGAGAAGACACAAAGTGCTGAGTATCTATTAGAAACTCTTTCACTGAAGGCTGCTGCAAGCGTAAGGGAGTCTAATTCACTGTCCTCTGAGACTAGGACTCACGTCTGAGACTTTGACTTGAGTTGCACTTTAATTGGGACCTCGCTTGGACTTGCTCTCTGAAGACATGATTTGGACTCAGCCACTCAGATTTGACTCGTCCATGAAGACTCACAACTTGCCTTGAGCTCTCCAGAAGACTTTAAGCTTGCCTTGAACAAATCCCCTAAAGTATCGAGACTTGGACTCAAGTTTTGACTTACATGTGTCATTAACTCGTTTCAATAAGTCTCCTGTGGTCTCTAGTATGAACGAATGCATTGTGAGTGTTTTGGCGTGGAAGGTGGAAAATGGCGGCACTTATTCATGATATAGAAATGTCTCGTCTCTGATTGTGCAGCAGCAACACGACTAATCCTCTGCCATCCTTAACAAAACTCAGAATACTGTAAAACATGTTTTCTTGGGTAAAAGATGCAACGTTGATGTTATCTCCACAAATAGCACAAGCCCGAACGTGTTCCACCATATGTGGAGTTGCTAATCGTTAGCTTCTACTGGCTAAGACACCATCCCAAGCCAAGGCACGAATCCTAGTTTTCACTGTAACAGAGAAGAGACTGGCTTTTTCTGTCTCAATCGTTTTCCAGTCTATTTCCTTCCTACGGCTAATGCAGGCAGGGGTGGACTGGCCTATCTGGCATTCTGGCACTGTCCCAGTGGGCCGCTTAGCCAAGTGGGCTGCTTGCCCAACTTGGGCTGACACTACTCCACAGTTGGTGATCTGCAGAACATTAGCTACATGGTAACCCGAAGCTAACAGAGTTTTTCCAGGCATTTTTAGCAAGAAAAACACAGTAGAGCGATTACGTAGGAGTTAGCATTTAGCTATTGTCCCACTGATCTCCACCTGTGGAGAATAAGCTGATCTGGAAGGCCAGGGCTCCCGGTCGCAGCGGCCTGGCCCTGCTTGTAACTTTACAGTCCCAGTCCATATTAGATCTCACATTCGGCCTAAAGATGAGTTCGTGGGCACCCCCCCCACACCGCTCTCCCAATGGGAAGGGCCAACGATTCGTAAAAATGCCAGGGCCGAATTTTGGTCCCAGTCCACCCCTGAATGCAGGCGATGATCGTTGAAGGAAATTTTCACGTTCAGTATGATTATGCAGCTCAGAGTGATTGATTGTTTTTTAAAAAGAACAAATATTACATATTTTCTCACTGAACCAGACCTCTATACTCCAAAGACTCAAGACTTGACTTAAACTCATCCTCTAAAGACGTGAGGCATAAATCTGTTTTACACTTAAATGATTAGAAACTTGACTTTGACTCTCTTGCTAACTTGTCTTTAGACTCATCTCATAAAGTTTCAAGACCTAACTTGGGCTTTCCTCAGAAAACCCAAGTCATGCCTTAGACTTGCCCTTTAAAGACTTGATTGAGACTCACCCTCTAAAAACACCTAATTTGACTATGACTTTCCTGTGGAGACTTGAGACTTAGTCTCACTATCTGACTTTCTTTATCTTATCTTTGACTCATTTATTGAAAATCGGCATCTAACTCGGACATCCCCTTGAAAGACTTGACTTCGACTCAACCTCTAAAGACTCAAGATTTCACTGGGACTCACATTTGAAAGATTATAGCCATGTTTGATGTTCTCACTAAAGACTTGTGACTTGAATTAGACATATCCGTCAAAATTCAAGGCCTACTCTAGATTTGCCTCATAAAATCCAAAGACTGAACTTGGACTTGCCCTTGACGACTTAAGACTTGACTTGAACTTGTCCTTTATGGACTCGAGACAAGAATGGACTTCAAACCTAACGATAACTCTCCACTGAACTATAAAAAGTTTTAGTAGTCCTGATAAAATAACTTGTTTAACAATGACTTTAGAAACTTCTGCTCCGTTCATGAGTACCACTGCTAAACAAGTCTTTCCCTTGTTTTAAAATTCTCACTTGTTGTTTAAACAAGTGCTGTTTTGAGTATCATCACATCTGAATGCTGATAGTGAACCCCTTTCTTTCTTCTCTGCTGCAGAACGAGTGACTATTCATTCTGGAGCTGCACCTGTTGACCAGCGCACAAGTCCTTCCCATTTTACGTCTTGGATTTACGACTCTCAGCTGTAGAGAGGACCTTTCACTCGGCCTCTGTGGCAGAGCGGCAACAGCTGTGACGACTTCGTGTAAAAAGACGACAAGAGGTCGCTCGGCTCCTCTCTGCACCTTGAACCTGATAGCAGCCCGTTTTGACACGGTGACTCCATCAGCTGTTAGTTTCTGTCCTATTAAACCGATTTCAATGGAAAAAAAGCTCACTTTTATTCCTTCTCAAGGTCTCATCTGTAGCTATTCACATGACTCAAAGAGAAGCAGGAAGAGACCACTGAGGTTTTTATATGTGTGGTCCTTTGGCAACAGAAAATTGAATTTTTATGATGCTAGCAGCTGTGTTTGAGACACATTAGGAATGCTGAGTCATTACAAAGAGAATCTGACATGTTTTGAGTCATTTATTTCTGGTTTGGCACTGAAAGATGCCCACTTCTGCTTGGTAAGAGGGTCTGATGGGGGAGGAGGAGGTAGTTTTAGGAAGTGCTCCTTCTCTGAAAAGCTCTGCTTGCCTGGTGGCTTTTCTCTGGAGCAGCTGTCTAGTAAAGCTCTGAAATACAGACTGTTAATGAGGCTAGAGCTCTTAAGGGAAAACCTGCTCTTGAACTCAACATCCTATTGTGATAAGTGACGAGGATCCCGCTCTGCATCAAGGGAATGCCCTCCGACGTAAACCCAGCTGCAGCTTGAGTCGTCGGATTCACTCAATATTCTCTGATGTGTCGAGATCGCGCCATGACGTTTGGTGGTCGTTTAGATCTGGAACAGCTCAGGTCAGACCTTTAACCTCGTTTCAGGATTGTTTCCGCAGACAGGTGCCCTTTGTGCCTCTCAGCTCAGCTCAAGAGGTTTTGGGGTAATGAGCTTGTTGCTGATGAAAGATGGGTCATGGCTCAGGCCAGCTTCAGCACTGCTGCACATTCCTGCCAGTTCATATTACAGCTGAGATATGAAGCAGCTGGAGCCGCTTGGCTTCACGCACTCAAACGGGATGTTGTTTCATTCAGCTAGTTAGAAGCAGATCCAACTGATCATTCACGACCCATTAACCCAAAGAAGTGGATTTATCAGGCTGAGGGAGAGCTTACTGAATGGCTATTGAGGTCCGAGTACAGTTGACTTTTTCTCTCTGTTTCAGTATTTAGTTGCCGATTGGCATGAGGGGGCTTTTCCCAGAGCACAATTAAAGGGTATGCCTTTTTAAAACATAAGCTTGGTGTTTTGCTGGCCAGCCCAAACTATCTAGGATTTCTTAATTTGAATGTAAATATAAGAAAATACACATCAGAACTGTGGTTAACCTGGATTTTTGTGTTAATATAAAAATAAATATTGAATTGGGAGCTTTGTCCCAGTATTTGTAAAGTAAGTCTGTTAATCACCTACAGGTTAAAGGCCGAATGAGAGAACCCTTTTAAAATCTGCAGGATAGCGGCCTTTGACGATTAAGTTTTCTATCGTTTTGGGGATAAATGTCCATATATTCACTTTTTTTTTCATTTTGTGCTTTTATGACTCCTGTGTAAGTAATTTTATTTAATATTTTATGTTTTAACTGAGTGTCCATATTTCTGGATGTGCAGCCTCTAACACTGAGAAATCCTGGTGTTTTTGACAGGCAACCAGTTCTCTGCATGACCTGTTGTAGACGAGACAATGCCTTCGAGCACTTTGTTATCAAGTGACTGACCTGGTTTATTCAGCATCAGATGAAATGGGATTTCCCACCGTGCACCAGAATCACAGTGAGAAATGTCATCCAAACTCTCCAGTGTGCTTTGTGTGTTAGCACCTTGGCTTCTCCTCATCGTTTATAAATAGCTGTGGCACATAAATGAAAAGTGCAAGTTCGGATAGGAGTGACGTCCCATCTTTGAGAGCCTCCGCGTGCTTTAAAGGTCCGTGTGACTCACAGCTGAGCTTCATTCAGATACCGGACCTCCACAAATAGGGTGAGATCATGGTGGTGGTGGTGGTGGTGGTGGTGGTGGTGGGGGTAGGGCGGGGCACAGTGCCAGTTGGGTCGAGTTAGTTCCAACCTTGCCCACATTCTTTATGATACTCTGTCAGCCTCCTGGAAATAGCCCCCCACTTCCCGACACGTGGCGTTCCAGGTTTTGCAGCCTTGTCTTCAGCTGCCCAGGAAATCAACCTCTGTGAACTTCTCCATGATGGAAAAAGAATCATGTCAGTTTAAAGAGGGACCATCATCCTACTTGTTGTAGATGACTCTTTAAAGAGACAATGTGTTGTTTTTACCATTAACTCATTCACTGCCATTGATGACAAAAGTCGTCATTTGCATTTTTTTACTGTGTGGGTGTCGGAACGAGCCCCCGCACGGTGAGAACAAACATCCCAGCTCTAAAGCCAATCTTCATCCACGTATGTCACACGTCACGTGATCAGGAAGCAGAACATCCATGTGTTAGGAGATCAATTTGGGCTGCTGCTGTAAAAACAAGTGAGGCGCGAACCGGAAAAGCTTCTGCCAATCACAATTCCACAACGGATTGTGAAAGAACGGATAACGCTCAAAACACGCAGATTTTTCCTGATGTAAGAGATGAGTCTCCTCTTTGTTTTGTTAGTTAGTTTAGACATCATCCTGGAGCGCAATGTTCTGTGACTCTTAAATAAACTGTGAAAATGCTGAAAACCGCTGGCAGTGAATCAGTTAATCTCTGGAAATATCCATCGAAAAAATGTTGAAAACGAGTTAAATGATGCCCAGTCGTTGAAAAACATTGGCAGCTTCGTAGCATATAACCATAAAAGTTGGGTCTAAAATGCATGGGACTAGGGCGGGGACGGGGCAGCAGTAGCTCAACAGGTTGAGCGGGTTGTCTAGTAATCGGAAGGTTACAGGTTCGATCCCGGCTCCGGACAGAGAATTGTCCTTGGGCAAGACATTTAACCTACCTTGCCTGCTGGTGGTGGTCGGAGGGACCGGTGGTGCCTGTGCTCGGCAGCCTCGCCTCTGTCATTGCGCCCCAGGGCAGCTGTGGCTACATCGTAGCTCATCAGTGTGTGAATGTGTGTGTGAATGGATGAATGATACACTGTAGTGTAAAGCGCTTTGGAGTCTTTACTCTGAGAGGCGTTATACAAGTGCGGGTGCGGGCCATTTATCATTTAGGGGTCTAGGGGTGTATCTCAATGCCAATGAACCTCACCTTAATCTCCTGGTCCCGCCCTGGTTGCCTAGGAGATACATCATCAGGCTTGTTCCAATGTTCATGTTCTTCTTCTAGGTGTCTGTTCTCCGTTTGTTAGCCGTTTAGCTAGCTCAGCAAGGCTACACAGGAGGGGTGTTTCTCAATGTCAAGGCACCTTGCCTTGCGAGGTGATGTCTTGCGACGCCAGGCGCCTTACTTGCAAGGACACTGTCCTTCCTTGGTCAAAGAAAAACGGTTAAATGGAACAGACTTGCATCACGTGACCACGGCTTCCATGGCGGTCACGTAACGTCACGTAACGTCACGTGACACGGGAGATAACGTTATATTTTATATTGTTAGTTTCAAAATAAATATATAATGAGCGTTTTACTATTTAAATTGTGTATATGTGTATTAAATTAAAAATATAAGCGAGTTACTACCCACTAGCCACTGAAGCTGCAACTACTAAGCAACTGACCAACAATAGATAACTTCTTTGGATCTAAAATTATTTTTTTTAATTAGCTGACTTACTTTTAATCTTGAAAATTGCCCCCGAAGTAGCTGTCGGCTTCTGATCCGCCGTCTTGTTGAAAATACTGCGGTGTATTGTGGGTAATTTTTGACCAAGGCTAGCCTACAAGACACCTCCCGTGTATCCTTGCTCAGCTAGCTAAACGGCTAACAAACGGAGAACACATGCCTCTGTAGAACATGAACATCGGAACCGATTGGAACACGTCTTGGTGGTTCCCGATGACGTATCTCCTAGGCAACCGGGGCGGGGCCAAGACAACAAGGCAAGGTTCCTTGGCATTGAGAAACACCCGAGGTGTCTTGGTGAAAAATTTCCCAGAATGCACCGCAGTATTTTCAAAAGGATGGCGGTTTAACAACCTGGCAGCTACTTTGGTGGCGAATTTCATGTTTAAATGTAAGTCAACTAATTGTAGCCATCGGGCTGATGTATGAAATGTCATTTTTTTTAATATCCAAAACAGTTAGCTATGGTTGGTTAGTTGCTTAGTAGTTGCAGCTTCGATGCTAGCAGGTAGTAACTTGCTTACATATTTAATTTAACAAATTTATACACAATATTGAAACTTATACATATAAAATATAACGTTATCTCCCGTGTCACGTGACGTTATGTGACCGCCGCTATCACATGATACAAGTCTGTTCTGTTTAACCATTTTCTTTGACCAAGGAAGGACAGTGTCCTCGTAAGCAAGGTGCCTGGCCTCGCAAGGCCTGGCCTCGCAAGACATCGCCTTGCGAGGCCAGGCACCTTGACATTGAGAAACACCCTTTAAAAATATCCTGATATAAAAACAGCATAATAAAGTTCTTTGGCCTTATTTCACACCTCTAGACTGAGACCTAATTTCTCATCAGTCGCTCCAATCTCAAACATTTCAAAGCGCACACATGAACACTGTGGTTGCTCTGGCAGAAACATCAGGAAATTCTTACAGGAAGTTCTCCGGGCTGCACAGGAAGTTAGCTTGTGCTGATGCTATTTTTGCTTGCAAAGACCTATTATTTTTTGTAAATAATTGTGTCATGTGAAACTGACATCACAAGGAAAGGTTTATAAACAGTTACCATGAAATGGTTTGAAATGCACTTGAGGTGTTTTACAGTGGTGTTAGCTGTTAAACATTAAACATTTTTTCTTCAGTCAAGTTCATCTGAATTTTCTCTGTTTTTTTTTTTTTTTGAGAAAGTAAAACGCTCATTTAGCTCTTTTGAAAAGTTTTTTTTACTTGTCTGATTTTTTACAAATTTCTAAATCAAGAGTGGGATCAAAGTCAGGGCTTTGATGACCTCCTGCACATTTATTTCTGCTAACAAGGCTCACTTTATTGCTCTGATTATCATCGATGTTTACATGTGACACATTTTCTTCTTTTGAAGTATCTTTTTCACCATCTTATCCTCTGTGGACAGTTTTGCAATCAGTTGTTTCCCTTCATCAACAAACCAGGTAATGTCCCTGAGCGAGCAACCCACTCAAACGTGAAGCAACTCAGCACCTAAATGCAAATGTTTTGCATACATTCCCAAGTGACTTTCCACAGCACAGTGTTAAAGGTGCAGCAGCAGGAAGTGGAGGAGGAGGAGCAGCATGAGATCTTCCACTTCAACGCACAGCTGTCCATAACAGTGTCGGTGCATTTGGCTTTACAACCGCTGAGCAAACCTGTCAACAAATACACGTTTTTATTCACTACTTGGCGTTTCTGACCCATGAACCCTGATCAGAAACCTTGTTCAGCAGCAAAGAAACTGAAAATATTGGGTTTTTTTTTTATCTTAGAAGTTGTAGAGATTTCTTTCTTTTTTTTAAATGTTCACCTTTTTTTTTTAAATGTTCTGGTTTGATTAAATTCTATATGGTTCAGAGGGCAATTTGTTTTGTATTGATGGCTTAGGTATTGGTTTCTGGAGCTTCTATTAACCCAAAAACTTAAATAAAAATGGAAACCCTGAACTAAGGACTTAGTTTCCTTCTACAGAGTTACTACGTAGTAATTTCTTCAACTCAAAGTAAAGAAGTCCTTTTTTTTTTGATACATTAAGTTCAACACTGTTGCATTCATAAGGAGGGCAAAAGGAAGTATAAACTTTTTTTGTTTTCTTCTTTTCGGAATCATCATAATCCCAAACGAATTATTTCCCCCAATCTCAAAAGCAAATAAAAAAATGTTATCTCAATTTCTAAAAGTTAACCCACCTTCAACTTTTTCTGAGTGTGAGGGCAGAAATGCTCAGAATTTGTTCCTGAATCTACAGGGTTAGGGTTAGGGTTAATACAAACAAACATAGCAAAAATAAAGTCCCCATCTGTCATAATGAGCAAATTAAAGTAAAACTTCATGCAACAAAGTGAATGATTAAATGCCTTTACAGATTTTATATTTCAACAAATTTTGAGAATATTTAACATCAGCCTCCAAAAAAAAAAAAACAAGAAAAAATGCTGAAATTGTGAAAACATTGTGAAGATGGAGACTTTGTGTGGAGATGATGCTTAACATTTTTGTACCTGCGCTGCACATTTATTTGTCAGGGTTTTTTATTGCATGACTCAGAGCAACATTGTATCTAAAAATTGGTTAAAGATGAGCAAAATGTAAGAATTTGGGAACAGAATTGTGTTTCTCTAACAGTTTTCTGAGCCTGAGCTGTTAAATTAAACTGTCATCTCTAAAATAACACGTGAAGAAGAGCCTGTAATATAAAATGTAATATAAGAGACCTAGATACTCCTCTTGTTACGTACTTTATTGAATTATCGACAACATTTACAACTTTGGAAACAAACCTTAACCAGGAGACAAAAAAAAGAGAAAAGACAACAGTTGGAGCAACACAAGCAGGCTTTGCTAAGGTGTTTCTATCGCATCAGATAGTTTCATTGACAAAACTCATTTCCAATCATCAACAAGGTTGTCTCTCAGGACTTGAACTTTTGATGAAATAGTATTTTTTTAATTTGTTTTTGCATTCTTGTCTGTTTAAAATAGAATTTTAAGTTTGGTTTATATCTGAACAGCAAATGAGCCGTGACCTCCAGCTCATAGTGAAAGAAACTGTTGTCACTGCAGGTTTTCCTTGCTGTATGAAACAAAAGTGTGCTGTTTAATGCAGTCATCTCAGGACTGTGACACGTTTTTGTCTCATTTCTGTTTGTGCAGGCTGCTGCTGCTGCTGCAGCTGCAGGACCCCTCGCCTTCCACCCGAACGCCACCACAGCTTCTGCACTAATAAGACAACCGAAGATTCTGGTGAGAATAGGACGGATGCAAAGATGGAAGCAGCCAGTGGTGGATTCAGTTTCACAGCATCTTTCTGAAGCACAAACTCTGAGTCACAAGGACGCTCATGTGGGTTTTAATAGTATCTACTTCCCTCCTTCTTTTATAATTTTTTTCAAGAGGACACAGATACAGCCTCAATGGGCCCCTTGCGGTTGATGGTGTTTGGGAAGTACCTAGTGTTACAACTGTCACGGTGCTCTTAAAGGGGCAGCAGATCATTTTACACTTTGGGTGTTTTTCTATACTTCTGTTCAACCTGAGCTATGTTTGTTTGACTCACAAAAGATATGATGCATTTCAAATAAAATAAAGCCACAAGGTGAGGAAGAAGATGAATTTGGGCATTTCTTAACCCACATACATTTTAACCAGCATGTTTGTGCATTTTATAGATCTTTTGTGGCACATTTTATGGTTTTAAGTTTTAAAAATAAGCATCTAAAAAACTGCAGTCATGTTAACTGGTCGTGTTTTTATTTTTAAGTGTTCGCTAGTGAATGAAGCCTGTTTATTACATATTAAGTAATGTTTTATTAATTAGATGCCAGCTTGCAGAATTTTTATGATTAAAAGCTGATTTGGTTCAAATATATTATTTATGGTCACCTGACAGGTGATCTCTGGAAATATCCATCAAAATGTTGTAGAAAATTAATGAAATTATGCCCAGTTGTTTAAAAAAATTATTGGCGGCCTTCTAACATATAACCATAAAAATTGGGTTTAAAATACATGGGAGCAAGTCTAAAGCCCAGTTTATACTTCTGCGTCAGCTCCACAAGCGATACGCACATTCATTGACAGAGATGTTTTGCTCTCTGACTTCTCCGTCTCCTGGGGAGTGTTGCAAAGCAGTTCCCTGCCAGGACAAGAGGACGTGGCGCTGTTCTGGGGTATTCTGTCACGAAGGGTGACCAAGCGTTTGTTTCCGATGCGTTGGGAGCCCCAAAGCGTCGGGAGGCGATGCGCTGTGCCAGAGCGTCGCTTTCCGACGCCTGCAAATGGACATTTCACTGACATTTAACCTCTAACCTCTGGCGATTTAACCTTCCCCTCACCCCCTTCCTAACCTTAACCCAGTTTCTCGTTCTAAATTTCCCGTTAACTGTGTTTGAGAGGCATGATACAACAAGAAACAAAGTTTTGCATGCGCAAGTGGGTTAAGATGGGTTAAGTGGGGCAAGAGGGTAAAGGTCACAATTCGCTAAAATCTCCATTTTACCACGGGCGTTGGAAAGCGATGCTCTGGCACAGCGCGTCGCCTCCCGTCGCATTGGGGCTCCCAACGCGTCGGAAACAAACGCTTGATCACCCTACGTCAGTTCCAGCCGCTTCAGGTGTGAGAATGAGAATGTGTTGGAAAGGGAGGAGACTTGGGCTCCCTATAGTACATATACTATTGTGTTTTTTGTACTTTATATTACTTTTTAACAGGAGCAAATTTGTCTCTCATTCTCCTCCACCTCTTCATGCTCTTGTCACCTCTAAACACAGGTTTCCTATCATTTCCATCCCAGAACTAGCTACTAGTGCTAGCTCTGACGTGTGTCTCTGACGATCATGCTATCTGTCAATCAAATCTAATTATTCATCATTTCAAGAATTTAATTACATCTAAACGGAAGAGTTACAAAAATATTCAGAGCTGTCATGATTGTAAACTAGATCTGTTAAACCAAATTTTTGGTTTTGAACCAGGCTGTAAACATTTTTATTTCTGCTGTGAAGTTGGCATTTTTAACATGGGAGTCAATGAGGATTTGCTCACTTCTGGTGCCAGCCCCTAATGGATGAGAGTGGAACTGCAACTTTTTTCCACTTCCTTGATGGGTTCACAAAATTCAGACCAAAAGGGCCACTGATTTGTAACAAACAGGTAGAAAACTTTCTCCTTTCATAAACATTATTTTACACATTTACGTCTTCACTCGTTGCCAGTGATGAAAGTGAGTCTGATGTGCTCATCAATTTGCTGGAGGTTGCGCTCCCAGGTATTTTTTACCCTAATGGCCATCCATGGTACGGTCTTACTCGAACACAAAAATACTGCTTGCTTGTAGTTATTTAAGTATGTACTGCCCCCTATCACTCCGGAAAATATGCATTGTCACTTTAAAGAAAAAAAGTAAAACCATAAAGCACGATCAAACTTTCTTCAAGTTGCCCTGAAATTAAAGCTTTTGCATCAATTCATGCATAATTCAATTATACCAAAAAAAAATCAGTAGCATGTTCAAAAAAGCAACAATAAAAGATGAAAGCACAACAACCTGAAAAGCACTCGTGGGTAATTTTGTTTTGGTGAATAAAACATCTGTAATCTGGTTGGTAGATAGTGGGAAAGTCTAGCTTCGTGCACCACAGACCAACAAGTGGGTGATTCTTCTCATGTCCTGAATGCTGAAAACTTCCCCCAATGTGTCATTGTAGATGTTTACTCAAATTTTTTCTGAGAATTAATGCTATATAAAGTGAAAGTGAAGCTGAAACAATGACAAACTGCAGTTTTACTGACATTAAAGCTACTTAAAATAGTTGTGCATGGAGTTTTCCTGTGCAGCATTCTATTAACGATAAAACAGCTCTCATTTTCTGTTTCATCCAGTAAATGAGAATTATCCAGACAGGAAGTTAAACACTAAAACAGTGTAAACCAGGGGTGTCAAACTCATTTTAGCTCAGGGGCCACATTGAGGGAAATCTAGTCCCAAGTGGGCCGGACCGGTAAATTAAAAACAACTTCAAATTGTTTTCTTTGTTTTAATACAATCAATATAAAACAAGGCTGGAGCCTGAGGACAGTGTATCCAAAATAGTACAAGTACAACACCTGAAGTGTACTTGAAAATCTGAAATAAATAAAAATTAATAAATCAATAAAAAAAACTTTCCTTAGTGATTCAGAGCTTACAGATCACATGGCAAGATCAGTTTCATGCAGCACTTAAAGTATATTTGACTCATTTTTCTTTACATCTTTTAGCTTTCACCAGCACATCAATATCAGAAGTCACATCCTGAGTGGCAGCCAACTTCAGGATGTGATTCAAGTTCTTGTGTGAGCCTTGAGCGCAGCTTTGTTTTATTTATACTCATTACAGAGAAAACTTGCTCACAAAGATAAGTTTATTTTAACTCTACATTGTAAAGTATGAAAATAAAGTTTACACAACCATCTCGCGGGCCGGATTTAACCTGCTTGCGGGCCGGATCCGGCCCGCGGGCTGTATATTTGACACCCCTGGTGTAAACTGTCTGGAAACTTTCAAAATAAAGGGCACATGCAGATTTCCAGTAGCTTAACTAGTAAAAAATTTTGGAGACAAGCGGCCATCTTTCTTCTTGCTTGTTAATGAGTGAACTTGCAAAATCACACAAGAGCTTACAATTATCCAGTGATGTCGTGATCTTGCAAGACCAGCTTAATTGAATGCACACCCTGCCGATTTGCTTCTGTGGGGAGGAACATGCCGCTGAGGTCACATTAAAACGTGTATAGACCGCTTGAGTGTTATAGTTTATATCCGGGGAATAGCTCACATCCACACAACGCTGGAGGGCAAGAGGTACCGCTGTAGCGGCCATCCAGACCTGTATCCCCGCAATTTCAGCTAACGAAATAAAACTTAGTTATTATTTTTGTTGATTATCTAACACATCTGTTATGGTCGGTGGTTTCATCAGAAAGTATGACGAGTAGGCCAGAATTCCTTTTCTAAGCGTTATTCAAACCTGCCTCACCTGTGCAGTATATCAGGCATCCATCTTAACTGCTCAACTCTTCTCCTTCTACCTATGTTCGCTCATCCAATACTGCCCCCCAGTGGTAGACACAACAACATCTTTGTGCAGATGGTCAAAATTTACGTCTCTAAGCTAACGTTGTTTAACGCAAAGCTTCCAGACCCGTTTGAAATAGCTAACGAACAATGGGGAGGACAGTCATCATAACTGCAGCTGCTAGCTTAGTACGGTACAGGGATATCTACAAATACCATCATTTATCAACCGCACTTACGAACAGATATCTGTGTATTTTGTGCACTGGAACGGTTTTATTTTTGGATTTGTTTTGACATTGTGTGGTATTTACCATGTTGGACTTGTGCGTAAAAATGTTCCTAAATATAAGAACAGCTCTGAGATACGTATGAACAGCGTCCAGTGGTAGAACGGGAGAACAGCAATCCTGAAGGTCTCTGCCATCCACGAGTGTTCTTCATCCACAAATTAGTTTTACACAATAAGTAATTAAGTAGGTGGAAAAACAGCTTTATCACATAACTGGTGTTAAAACCTATAATAGACGTCAGTGACCGACGGGTATCTGACATTGTAGCATGGCTGATCTTGTGCTATTGGAGGATTTGGCAGCAAGCGTGTACTCCAGGGGGAACCGGTCTCCTGTGAGCTCACCAATCGGATTCCTGAAGGATGCTGTACAGTTTTGGTTTTGTGTGTCTGTTATTTATGATATCTACTATATTTTTCATCGTGACTACTTTAAGTGTTTTGGGCACTGAGGCGTGTAAAGATGTGTAGAAACTATGATGAGCCTTGATTGGATTCCAAAGGAGGAACACATTTGATATAAAAGAAATCACCCAAGTTTAACTTCTGTTTAAATGAAACAGGAAACATCTAACAGACATTATTTCTTTACCTTTTTTTTTTGACCAGCAGAAACGTTCACATATCGCTTTGTATCACTCCTTTAACCCAGTTCATTGGAAAACACTCATCCTGAGAAGACTTATGCAACCACACGCTGTGCCAGGTCAAGCTTTTTGATTCTATCTTTCGCTCCCTTTCATGTCTGGATCTGGGAGAGCAGAAAGAAGGTTAAACAAACACAAAGCTCATTAAAATAAACCTCTTGTCAACTCCCACTCCCTGTTGTTTTTTTCTTCTGCCGTACAGGAATGTGCTGTCAGGCTTCACGTCCCACGCAGCAGAGCTGCTGCAGGACTTCAGGTAATGAATGAAGTGGGGATGTCCAGCCTGCAACCAGAACACACAGACTACTGGTAAAGGATGACTGAGCTTCCCACCACAATGCCACATCATTACATGATACATTAGAATGCAAACACACACACACACATTTGTCTTAGGGTGGTCTGTTTGCAGACATGTGGGTGATTCAAAGAAAAATAACAAATGCATTCCTGAAGTTTGTTTTAAACTTTTATAACATTTAACTGAAACGTGATCTTGTGATTCAAAGTGAAAAAGCATAATTTACCGTAAAGATTTTGTTGTGCAACAACGCGATCTGGATGATGAGTAACTGGTGGTGTATCCCAAGCAATGTTTTACAGCCCAGTAAAGCAGCT